TGTCCATGCTGCTTGCCCCTGAGGGAGACCCGGATGCACTAGACATCCCGACCCCGCGCTCTTACGCAGAGGTGATAGAGGGTCCCTACTCCTCTCAGTGGCAGGCAGCCATGGACGCAGAGATGGCTTCCTGGAAGTCCACAGGCACCTATGTAGACGAGGTTCCCCCACCTGGGGCGAACATCGTCAGTGGCATGTGGATCTTCAGGGTGAAGCGGCCGCCGGGTTCTCCGCCTGCCTTCAAGGCGCGTTACGTTGCACGTGGCTTCAGTCAGCGACAGGGAGTTGACTTCTTTCAGACCTTCTCCCCTACCCCGAAGATGACCACTCTTCGGGTACTGCTGCACCTTGCTGCTCAGCGTGACTACGAGCTCCACTTGCTTGACTTCAGCACAGCCTTCCTACAGGGCAGCCTGCACGAGGAGATCTGGCTGCGCCGCCCACCTGGCTTCACTGGGTCGTTTCCTCTTGGTACCCAGTGGAGCCTCCAGCGGCCAGTCTACGGTCTCCGCCAGGCGCCCCGTGAGTGGCACGACACGCTCAGGACGGCTCTTGCTGCTCTTGGTTTTGCTCTTTCCACTGCTGACCCTTCTCTGTTTCTACGCACTGACGCTACTCTGCCGCCGTTCTACGTTCTTGTGTACGTAGACGACCTTGTCTTTGCTACTGCTGACACGGAGGCACTCGCCCACGTGAAGTCCGAGCTGCAGAAGAGACACACGTGCACAGACTTGGGTGAGCTGACAAGCTATCTTGGCTTGCGGATCACCCGGGACAGAGCACAGCGCACCATTACCTTGACTCAGTCACACATGGTGCAGCAGGTCCTTCAGCGCTTCGGCTTCACGTACTCCTCGCCACAGTCCACTCCTCTGCCTACCGGTCACTCGCTCTCAGCTCCACCTTCGGACGAGTCCGTAGAGCCGAGTGGCCCGTATCCAGAGCTTGTGGGCTGCCTCATGTACCTGATGACTTGCACACGACCTGACCTCGCATACCCTCTCAGCCTTCTGGCTCGCTACATGGCTCCCGGCAGGCACCGAAAGGTGCACTGGGATGCTGCGAAGAGGGTGTTGCGATACTTGTGCAGTACATCGGGCATGGGGCTCGTGCTTGGAGGACGGGCTCGAGTTGTCCTCACTGGTCACGCTGACGCCTCCTGGGTTGACGACTTGGCTACGCAACGGTCGTCACAGGGTTACACCTTCAGTCTTGGCTCCGGCTCTGTCTCTTGGCGGTCTACCCGCTCTTCTTCTGTTCTCAGCTCCAGTTGTGAGGCTGAGATCTACGCTGGAGCCATGGCTGCACAGGAGCTTCGCTGGCTCACCTACCTGCTGACCGACTTGGGAGAGGCGCCTCGTTCTCCTCCAGTTCTGTACGTCGACAACAAGGCCATGTTGGCCTTGTGTCAGGAGCACAGACTGGAGCACAGAACGAAGCACATTGCTCTGCGCTACTTCCTTGCTCGAGAGTTGCAGCAGCGTGGCCAGCTTCGTCTTGCTTACGTGGCCTCTCAGGCCAACACTGCTGATGTTTTCACCAAGGCACTTCAGCCTTGTGATCATCAGCGTTTCTGTACTGTGTTAGGCCTTGTACCTACTGTGCCTCACTTGTTGACTTCTTGACTCTGCTTGTACTGTACTCTATATACTTATACCTGCATGCTTACACTTGCTAGGTTGTGTTCACTGTATTGTTTGCTTTCCTTTATATAACTCTGCATGTGAACTGGCCTTATGGCCCTTTGCTTGTGCTCAGACTGTGTGGTGACTTTGTGATCCACCCTGAGCTTGCTTTGTCTTTCTTGACTGGTCTTGTGACCCCTTGTTCTCCCCCACTTTGCCTATGGGGGTGTGTCAAACTTATATCTACTATAGTCTGTTTAGGCTGTAGTGGGGTAGTCCTTAGAGGGTACAACACTTTTGTGTTTCCCACTTGTACCCTTCTGCTTTCTAGTTCAATCATTCATTCCTTTGTTTATTCACAAGGGAATCATTCCCTGCCAACTGGCGCGAGATTCTCGATTCCAGCCCTGTATAGTTTCGACTCGATTCAAATTGCAACAACGTGATCTACAATTTGGTGTAAGAAATATGCATTTCATAAATGTCATTATATAAGCGCCGGCGCTTATAAAAATCCTCGATTATAAGCGCACCCCCTAAAAAACAGTGTTTTTTCATACCTCCAGGGGCGCTTCTATCCGGGGGCTTACGGTATATCATAAAACTTGGAAACTTTATAGTGGACGAAGTGCACGGTACTTCTTCAATATGAAGGTTAAATCCCTTAAGCTTCCGTCGACGCAGTATTTGGTTTATGAACAAAACATGTACTTCAAAACAAATTTTGAATAGAGAAGAAACAGAAAATGCAGTGTACATAATATTTAGGGAAAATATTTCAATTGTAACTTACATGGGGCACTATAACGCGTACGGTAACGATTTCAACACGTTTGGTAACTCCGCTAACGCGTTTGGTAACTCACATAACACGTTTGGTAACTCGCTTAACGCGTATGGTAACTATACATTAGCAGCCCATCACGCGAATGGTAACTACATGAAACTCCCGCCGAAATGATCCTGACAAAAAGGAATTTATCAATTGTGAAAGCGTTTACGCACGGTTTTATCTTTCTTAAACAAGTCCCGCCGCGACTTTGAAGGACCTCGTTTGTTATATTACCATGGACCGAAAAGTTTCAGAGGCGTTTTATATATATATGTAGCTAGTACAAAGACGGTTAAAATCATATTTTTGATAGCATCATTGCGAACTTGCAAAATGATAAAAAACATTTCCCGAAAGAACCTCGGGGCTTTACTTTTTGTAATAACTGCAACGTTGGAGAATTTTTGCATGTGGGAAAAAATACAGCTGTTGAGAATTACATGTGCTATTTGAAAAAAAAATGAACTATAAACGCCTTGTTGCAATGAGTTTAGGGTTGATGCCAGGGCTGACTTTTCAAATTTAGGTACCCTGATTTCAACCTAAAAAAAAAAAAAAAATTACCCTGAAGGCACATTTTCCAGAAAAACAGCACCCTGATTGCTCAGGGTTGAGAAGTAGTGAACTCTGAATGTTCAGGGTCGAGAATTGAAAATCAGGGTCGTAGTAACGCGCTCTTTTTTTTACCGTGGACAAAAGTCTCACTCAATCAGAAGTCTCATTCTTTACCCTAATCGCAACATGTGCTCGAAATCTGACAGTCTATTTCGACCAATAACAGCAACCTAAAATCTGACATTACAGATTCGCCCGATCTAGATGGTGGGTGTATGGGAACGAAACTTCGAAGAAACTTCGTCTCGATAAAGCGAGGGGAAGGGGGGGGGGGGGGGGGGGGGGGGGGGGGAGGGAGGATTACGCATGTGGGGGGCACTGAAATCAATGCGAAGGGGTTATCAGGAGGAAATTTCCGAGAAACTTCGCCCCGATAACATCGCATTCAGGGTCCACAGGCCTCGTACTCTGTATTGACAGGGTTCGTGAAAACCCTACACTGAGAGTGTACACAAAATTTCAGGGTCCGCTAAAGCAATACTCTGAATGGATCAGGGACCAAAATGTGAAAAACCTGATTTCTCAGGGTCCAGAAAGTGACAAGTCTGAAATCACCCTGAAATCAGGGTAATTACCCTGATAAAATCAGCCCTGGTTGATGCCCTCAAATTCATTTGCCATCTGAAAGGGTTATAGATTTCGTTTGCCCCGGCTGCACGATAGAATGAAGTACAAACAGTTTGCGGAAAGAGCGCCAGAATATCAGTTTTGTATTAACAGTTGTTTTCACAACACTTACGTTTTGCAATTAGCTTGAAAATCGGAAAGTGTGTCAGGATTTCGGAAAGTGTGTCAGAATTTCGGAAAATTGTGCCAGAATTTCGGAGAGTGTGTCAGAGATTTCTGCTTCAAGATTCGTCAATTTAGTCTGACGCGAGCGGGAAAAACCAGAATCAGGGTCATTTTGGGCGAGAGTTTCTTCTAGTTACCATTCGCGTGATGGGCTGCTAGTGTATAGTTACCATACGCGTTAAGCGATTTACCAAACGTGTTAAGCGAGTTACCAAACGCGTTAAGCGAGTTACCAAACGCGTTGAAATCGTTACCGTACGCGTTATAGTTCCCCATGTAAGTTACCATTGACATATTTTCCCTAATATTTAAGTCTCGTTAACAAGGCCTTGTGTGGTGTATTTTTTTGTGCAATGTGACTTCGAGACTGAATGCAAGGAAGAAATCTACGGGCATACACCACGTCATCCTCCGCTGTTTCAATAGCTTGCCGAGATTGCGAGTGTGAAGATGGCGTGCCACTGTAATCCGCCACATGGCACCGACTGCCCAGCAGGGTCACGAACCACGACCAGCACGGGGAATGTGCGTGAACCTTGGCGGCCAATCTCAAGCTGTTGCCCGAGCCTACCGAACCTGCACCAAAATTATCGAGAAGCACCTTGCCGAACCTTGTCCATAGCAGTGTACTCTGAAGGCGTGTCCAAGTACTTCGTGTCTAACAGCCAGTTTTTGGCTTGTGCGTTTTTCCGCCAGGTGGAACCACTTGACGCTTACCAAAATGGCTCTAACTCACCAAATCTGTACTTTCAGTCAAAGTGCGCAAAAACGTTTTCCAAAACCACCAGGTCAAACGAGTAGTTAAGCTCAGTTGTATCAGTGAACGCGGGCCTTCCCAACCAAGCCACTCAGGGAATTCCCTGGGCTTCCTCTGTGCTCCAGCCAAACCACTGGGGCTTTGCATGCACCATCACCTCACGACAACTACAACTCGCCCTTGCCTCAAAACTGCAGGCATATCTGCTGGCAATTCCACACCGTGATCCCCGTAGCGGTTCTTAGCTTGCAGCTGTGTTTTCTTCATCCTTCGTGCTGCTGCTTTGGATTCGTTTCCCTGAGTGCTGCGAGCAGGAAATTTTCTCGTTGCGGGACTGCAGCTATCCTTGTGAAGTGAGAGGAAGCTGATAGGGTTAGCCATGGAGTGTCTAGCTCACAGGGCCTCAGTGCCTGTCGCGCTCGCGACCCCCAAGTCCGAGCACAGGCTTCCTACTCCTTCCGCGTCGCTTAAGTTCGCCGCTAGCCCCGCTCTCGGTAACCAGCTAGTGGCGAAAAGTCGGCAGACTGCACGTGCGAGCCAGTCGCAGCTTAGGCGAAGCACCCCTCGCTGCGAGGCTGCACCAGAAGGCGCTGCTCTCACAGCTCCTGAGAAAAAACCTTCAAGCGACGATACCATTCAGCAGTTTCTGCAGCGTGATTACAAGTACGGGTTCGTGTCTAACATCGAGAATGTTCAGATTCCCCGGGGATTGTCGGAGGAGACGGTGAGGATCATCTCGGCGAAGAAGAGAGAGCCGGAGTGGATGCTGGAGTTCCGCTTGAGTGCGTTTCGACAATGGCAGAAGATGACTGAACCCGAGTGGTCGGACAACACCTACCCGAAGATTGACTTCCAGGTGTGAAGAGGACACTGACGTGGAAGGTAGTGAATACAAGCATGAGATTTCCAGCAATTAAAGGGAAAAACATCGGACAGACGTGGCAATTCAAAGAAACAAAGAAAATAAACAGATGTAGAGATGAATACAAAACAGTCAATTCTCCGTCCATCACGCTTTCCTCCGATCCCTTACGGGCAGGACGTTGTCCACTATTGCGGAGGTAAAGTAGACCCCGAGCTCCCAGCCCAGTCACATTTTCTCCCTTTACCCCCTCCTTTCCCTCTCCTCCACATCCCTAACATCCCCCACTTTCCCCACACCCACCCCTCCGCCTCCCTTCCCCCTTCCATCCGCCTCATCGCCGACACCACACGCACCAGCACGTGATTTACTACTCGGAGCAGAAGCACAAGGAGACGAGACGAGGTGGACCCTGAGCTGCTGGCGTCGTTCTTGAGACCCCTCCACCTTTCCCTCCCCCACCCTTCCCTCCCCCACCTTTCCCGCGCACCTTCACCAGGACGTGATTTACTACTCGGAGCCGAAGCAGAAGGAGACCAAGGCGTCGCTCGACGAGGTCGACCCGGAGCTTCTCGCGACCTTCGACAAGCTCGGCATCTCCATCTCCGAGCAGAAGCGCCTCGCGAACGTCGCCGTCGACGTCGTCTTCGACTCCGTCTCCATCGCGACGACCTTTCGCGAAGAGCTCGCGAAGGCCGGCGTCATCTTCTGCTCCATCTCCGAGGCCGTCCGGGAATACCCAGACCTCGTCCGGAAGTATCTGGGGAAGGTCGTACCTGTCGCTGATAACTACTACGCCGCTCTAAACTCCGCCGTTTTCAGCGACGGCAGCTTCTGCTACATCCCTAAAGACACCATCAGCCCTATGGAGCTCAGCACGTACTTCAGAATCAACGCCATGGAAACGGGTCAATTCGAGCGGACTCTAATTGTCGCGGATGACCGGAGCTATGTGAGTTACCTGGAGGGGTGCACGGCGCCTTCGTATGATAAGAACCAGCTGCACGCCGCGGTGGTGGAGCTGTGGACGGGCGAGGGCGCGGAGATTAAGTACTCGACGGTGCAGAACTGGTACGCCGGCGACAAGGACGGCGTCGGCGGGATTTACAACTTCGTGACCAAGCGCGGGCTGTGCGAGGGCAAGAACTCCAAGATCTCCTGGACGCAGGTACGCGTTTGTGGGTCATCTTACATCGAGCTTTTATGATTCTTGTAGTCTACCGATCTCCAACCCCGTCCCTCCTTTTCCACCCTCGTCTCACTTTCACAAACCCTCCCCCCCCCTTCTTCCCCCTCTCCCACACGCTTTGCTCCTTGCTCGCTCCTTCTCGGCTTCGGTCTAGGTTCCCACCTGCTGCCAGTGCTCACTGCCGTGCAAGTACCCTCTCTGACTCTCTAACGCGTACATGCTCCGTTTCCTGTGTCTCAGGTGGAAACTGGGTCCGCCATCACGTGGAAATACCCGTCTGTGGTGCTCAAGGGCGACAACAGCTCGGGCGAGTTCTACTCCGTCGCGCTCACCAACAACAAGCAGCAGGCCGATACCGGCACCAAGGTGGGTAGCGTGACAGGGGTTGTAAGCTGGAAGCAGTGGGGCAGGTTGTGTGCCTGGTTGCTGTGGTAGCAGGGTGATTCGGGCGAGTTCTACTTTGGCGCTCACCAACAGCAAGCAGCAGGCTGATACCGGCACCAAGGTGGGTGAGTGACAGGAGTGACAGGCTCTCCAAGCTAGCCAGCAGGCGGACTGTTTGAATGGTAGTTGTACAGCTATACATCAGGCAGACTGACTCGCGCGAGCTTTATTTTGTGGCGCTAGTCGTGAAGCAGCGCAGCAGTAGCAGCAGCAGTAGCGGCGGCAGCAAGGGGACGTATGGGGCATTATGCCGGGTGAACCGCGAGGCGGCTGGTTGGTAGCGCGCAGCAAGCAGCAGTTTGACAGGGCCTGTGGGGTGTGCTGGAGATGCGGGTGTGGTAGGCGAGGGAGTAGAACCGCTTGTGTGAGCCGCTGCAACGGGATTCCCAAAAGCGGTGATGTCATTCTTCAGGTGCAGAGTGATGCGAAGTCGTAATGGTTGAATGGTGTAATATCCTCAGGGCGTATAGCCAGGTGCATGATGGTCCAAGGGCGGCTTGCTGAGAGGGAGGCATGTCTACACCACTGCCATGGCTACCAATTTTACGGCAGCCCAGCTGCCTGAGATGCACGACCACTGTTCCTCTCGTCTTCCTGTCCAATGCCCTCTTTCCCTTCACTTGGGGATGAACACTTGCAGCCGTATTCGGCAAGGGCGTTGGCGCTTCATGGGTGTTCTTATTACACTATGTCTCATGCTCCTGTTCTGTCCTATCCCCTCCCCTGCACGCACCAGATGATCCACGTGGGGAAGAACACACGCAGCCGCATTGTATCCAAGGGCATCTCAGCAGGGCAGTAGCTTCTAGGGTGTTCTTACCCCACTGTCTGTCTCTCATACTCTTCCTTCCATTTCTTTCCTCCCCTCGCCATCTTGTTAACCAGATGATCCACGTGGGGAAGAACACGCGCAGTCGCATTGTATCCAAGGGCATCTCAGCAGGGCAGTCGCTCAACTGCTACCGGGGGCTCGTGCAGGTGCAGCCCTCGGCACATGGAGCTCGCAACTATTCTCAGTGCGACTCCATGCTCATTGGGGATAACGCCGGCGCCAACACGTACCCGTACATCCAGGTGTGTTACTAGTAACATTGACTGTTGGGTCAACTCAAGAGTCACCTGGTGCAGTGCAGCCCTCGGCACACAGGGCACGCAATTACTCTCAGTGCGACTCCATGCTCATTGGGGATAATGCCGGCGCTAACACGTACCCTTACATCCAGGTGAGTGTTACAGAGTAATGCCGTCTGTATATGTTTTAGAGTGCATCTGCAATTGGAGGATGTGCATGTGCTGGTGGAAGTGTGGCTGTTGATAGTGGTACGGAGTGTGCGTGTTTCTTATTCGATGTTAATGTTCTCGGTCGCCCTTGAATGTTCTTGAACGCCTTTGTATATTGCAGGTGAAGGATCCGACGGCTCGAGTGGAGCATGAAGCGTCCACGTCCAAGATCGGGGAGGATCAGCTCTTCTACTTCCAGCAAAGAGGAATCGACGCCGAGAAGGCAGTGGGCATGCTCATCAGCGGCTTCTGCCGTGAGGTGTTCAACGAGCTGCCTCTGGAGTTTGCCTCGGAGGTCAACCAGCTCATGAGCCTCAAGCTCGAGGGCTCAGTTGGTTAAAAACAATGTGTGTTTGTTAATGCTATTTGTTTTGTGTGTTAGTAGAAATTGTTATTTTCTGTCCGATGTATAAATATATGGGGAAACAATGTACTTCAGACGTATGAAGCTGGAAAACCGTAGCCTGTAACGAACTCGCTGGAATTCCTTCATTAGCTCCATAAAGGGGACAAGTGAAAAAAATCAGAAACCCAAATTGTTCGCCTCGGCAGCAGACTACACTGTTTCATCAGCATAGCCCGTCTGTGTCCATTGAGTCGGCGACGCGGCTGCACTTCCCGACGAATGTGAGGAACTGTCAGACGCAGCCCGGCAGCCATGGCTGCTGGCGCTCTAAGTCGGACCGTCCATTCTTTGCGGCGTCGATCCTCTAGTATAACGTCTTCGCTGGGCCGCTCTGTTCGTTCGTATCTGCACGCATTGGACGTCTCGTTGCCATCGTACCTGCAGCACTCACCACACACCTCGAATCCTCCACATTCGCACTCGCTGGTCATCGATCTTAGCGAAACCACTGCAGTCCCCGCTACAAACGCGTACACAGGCTCGCTCCATTATGTTCCCTCCCGGTTCGAATCATATCCGTTAGGAGCTCAACCCATTTCTGGAAGACTGTCCAAACTTCGGTGCTTGCAAACTATATCGAATCAATCCGAGCTCTCTGGTTCTCGAACCTTTCTTGCTCGTATCTCAAGTGTGCAGTCTGCAACTTTCCCTCCCACCTCCTCCTCCGCCTTATCGCGTCCGTTCCGATTTCCCCAGATCTCTGCTGCTCCGTTCTCCTCCTCATCGCGAAGCCAATCGAACACCTCCGGCCGTCAACTTAGCCGTCCGAACGACCGTCAAAACAGCGGGCAGAACGACCGCCAGAACAGCCGTCAGTTTGGCCGGCGAGTCAGTGACGGCGCCAACAAGGAGAGCAGACGAGGAGAGAAGATCGGGAATGAGCAGAGAGCTGAGACGCCTGGTCGAAAGGAGGAATTCAGAGGAAAGAGGAGTCGCGACGTGGAGGATGTTTTGAGTCGACTCAAAACAGAGAAGATTGGGAATGAGCAGAGAGCTGAGACGCCTGGTCGAAAGGAGGCATTCAGTGGAAAGAGGACTCGCGACGTGGGGGATCAGAGCGTTGGGAGGAAGAGGACCCGTGACGTGGGGGAGAAGGTCGGGAATGAGCAGAGAGCCGAGGCGCCTGGTGGCAAAGAGGCATTCAGGGGAAAGAGGACTCGCGACATGGATGATCAAAGAGTTGAGAAAAAGAGGACCCATGACTTTGAGGAGAAAATTGGCAATGAGCAGAGAACTGAGGCGCCTGGTAGAAAGGAGGCATTCAGGGGAAAGAGCACTCGCGACGTGGGGGATCAGAGCGTTGGGAGGAAGAGGACCCATGACGTGGAGGTGAAGATGTGGAATGAGCAGAGAGCCGAGGCGCCTGGTAGAAAGGAGATATTCAGGAGAAAGAGGAGTCGAGACGTGGAGGATCAGGGTGTTGGGAGGAAAAGAATTCGTGGAGCGGAGGAGCAGTCGGTTGGGAGACACGACAGGGTCAAGTTGAAACAGAAGAGCCACGAGGACCTTCGGCAGCAGCAAGGGTGTGAACCCACCCGACAAAAGCGTCAGCAGCAGCAGGGGCACAAGGACCAGCGTAGTTCACTAGCAGACGATACGGACAATGGATCAGTCCCGTGGCGACAGCTGGCACCTGTCCACTTCCCCTCTCTGCTTCCCGTTCAGGAAATTGCTGTGGGGAAGAAAGGCAGGGACGGAGGAGAGGACACGGGGGTTGTGAGTGCGCGCAAGTGGGTGGCGGTGAGCTGCCCTCACATGCCAGCCAGCCTCGTCCATAAGCTTTTCAGAAAGAGACTGGTGAGGGGGAAACATGCATCTTGTAAGTTGATATTATTATGTTGATGATAATAATGATCATCATTATTGTTAACGATCTCATTATCATCATTGTTGTCGTCATTATCATCCCTTTCACTGCCTGTCTGCCACGCCTTTTACTACCTCACGCCTTTCACCTCTGTCACCTCTGTCACCTCTGTCACCTCTGTCACCTCTGTCACCTGTACCACCCCACCAGGTGCGAGCCCTTAATCCGCCAGACTCGTCTCTTCCGTCCAGCACCATGCGTCCCTCGCACGCCCGTTTCAACAAGCTATCGCGGGTGCGTTGTTGTACGAATTCGCGACTGAACCAAATGGTTGCAGTATAAGAGGGTCACAGATGTGTGGAGTAGTGTGCTGTGCAACTTGCAAGAAGCCTCTGGGAATGAAAAGACGTGTTCGTGTAAGAAAGGCTAGAGAATTTTGTGTTCACTTGATGCTTCACTTTTGGGAATTCCCGTTATCAAAGCACTACAGAATCGAAGTGGCATGTTTGTTTAGGCGCCTCGAAAACAGAAGTGACACGTTCTGCTGGCGGTGATGGTGGCGGCGGTGGTTTCATGCGGCAGCAGTTTCCTCTGCACCTCGTTTTGCAACGTACGTCTTGTTTATGGTGTGAGATGTGATGGTGTGCAATCGGGATGGTATGTTCCTTATGGCTCGCTAGCTGGCGCTGTACATACGTAAGCCTTTGAATGGCGTGTGCACTTGGCATGGCATGGCGTGTGCATGGCATGGCATGGCACGGGAGTGCATGGCATGGAACGGTATGTGATGTGGTGTGATGCGATGGTTTGGCATGGCTCGGCTTGGCAGGTATCAGCCAGCCAACTGCTCCTTCCAGGAACCATCCTGTGCATCCCCTCGTCTGTCCAACTGCACACCGATTCTGAAGCAAGTGGCGCGACTCGGGCTTTAAGGGACGGCAAAGCTGTTGCCCCGTCTTTCTCCTCTGCCGCTCCGTCCTCTTCTTCTTCCTCCTTGCCACGTGGCATTCAACCAGAGGATGTCAAAATGCTGCAGAAGTGTGTTCTCTACAAGGTAGGCTGGCAGCAGTAGGAGGGGAGATTAAAGCTGGAATCATATTCCTAGGAAAACTGGGTGAGGCTACATTGAAACGCATAAGCGGGACAAGTGCTCAATCGTGCGTAGCTCAAATGGTCACAGTGTCATTCCACTACGCCATTCATGCCATTCACCCCCCTCCCTTCCTCCTTTCCCCTACCAGGATGAGCACATGATCGCCATGAACAAGCCGTCAGGCCTCCCTTCTGAGTCGACTCAAAAGTCGCCATTCACCCCCCTCCCCCCCTTCCCCCTTCCCCCCTCCCCTTCCCCTTACTCTGCCAGGATGAGCACATGATCGTCATCAACAAGCCGTCAGGCCTGCCCTCGCAGGTAAACAGCCACTCATGAATGCAGTGCTGAGTGGCTGTTCACGACGAATGCCAGGCTGTTTTCATCAGCAGCCACTCAGCACGTGAGAAAAGGTTTGTTTTGAGACGTCTCAAAACGAATGCTGTGCTGCTTTCATGAACGGCCATCAAGCATGGCTTGGGCGCTATTTGAACATGGTCCACGTGTAACTGCAGAGTCCAGCAATTATATGGACTAACTAAACAGATGTGTTCATTCAATCGGCTTATTGGAAGCCGCATTGTTTGCTTGTAGACGTTCTGAAACATTATTAGCACAGATCTCTGCCTCTCTGTGTGTGCTTGAAGAAGTGTTTTGAGACGTCTCAAAACACTTCTTCTCTCAGGTCTCTGCCTATGTGATTTTGTGGTTGTACCTGCCTCTCTGTGTGTGCGACCATATCAAAGGGTAGAGTCACGGTTTTTTTTCTATTTTAAGAATTCTCGTCTGTGAATCTGTAATGCATTCCTCGCTCCATGTGTGACTGCATCTTAGGGTAGACTCACAGCTCCCCTCTCCTTGTGTCTTCCATTTTGGTTTGAGATGCCTCAGATCCCTGCATTTTCCATCATGAAGCGTTTTATTTCTGACTGTAACAAACGTGTATTTATGTATGTGTGCCTCATTCCGTGTGACTGTATCGCAGGGGGGCTACAAAATACGTCTCTCAGTGGACAATCTTATGCAGCACGCCCTAGCTGCTGACTCCCCCGAGCCTCTTCGCCTGGTTCGGACTTAATCACACCCAGACCCTGACCTATGTGGCTGCTCGGGGTTCTGGTTTTGGTTTTCAACTTGATACGCATGCAAAACGCCCAAGCCTCGGATCTTCCTCCTGAGTGTCGTCTCCTGGTTCGATGTGTTACTTCCCAATCCTGCGTGTTTTTTCTAAGCTATGACTCAATGCATGATGTGAGATATCTATACGGTGAGCTCCTGCCATAGGTTCCGCACAGCGGGCACCTCAAAGGTCATGACACTAGCCATACGCAGCATACAGCAGCATGAACTATCCTATATGCAGCATGCCCCTTTTCATACCCCTCTTATCATATCCCTATGACATACTCTTTCATATGCCTTTGCACTCCTTTGCACTCCTTTGCACTCCTTCGCACCCCTTTGCACTGCCTTTCATGCCTACATACCTTTGCATGTCCTGCTCCCGTCCAATCAGGTGCATCGCTTGGACAGGGAGACAAGTGGCGCCATGCTGTTGGCCCGCTCACCTGCCAGTGCTCGTGTGCTCTCAGCCCTCTTCCGGGATAAGAGTGCCGCTGGCGTTCTTGCTGCTGCTGCTGTTGGTCCTGGCAGCCTTACTGCTGTTGCTGCTGTTGCTGCTGCTGCTGGTGCTGATGGTTCTGGTGATGAGAGTGATAATGGCGATGCTACTAGTGCTGCTCGCGATGTGGGGAGCGCTGCTGCTGATTGGTCCAACGAGGGTGGTGTGGCACGTGTGTACTGGGCGGTCGTGATTGGCCAGCCGAAACAGTTGTCTGGGGTCATAAACGCGCCGCTGCACAAGGTTTGTGGGGTGTGCATGTGTGTGTGGAGGGGTGCTGAGGGCCATTGCTTGAGGTTTGCAGTGTGTGCCTGTAGGGTGTTTTTGAGAATCCTCAAAAACACCCTGGGCCATTCCTTGAAGTTTGCAGTGTGTGCCTGTGTGCTCGGAAGGGCGTTTGTGTGTACATGTGTGTGTGGAAGTGCGTTTGTGTGTACATGTGTGTGTGGAAGTGCGTCTGTGTGTACGTGTTTCATTCATGCATGTGTTCGTCAAATAGTGTGTGTGGGGGGTGCATGTCAGTGTGCTATATCTGATCATCACTGGTATCTGGAGAGCTCTATATGATCGAGAAGCAGATTGCCACAGCAATTTCGGTTGCTTGGTGCTTCTATCTTTAACGTTCCCTTTCTGCTGCCCTTTTAATCTGGTTCGCTTTTTTTGTCCTATTTGTCCAGCCGGGCAACGATTCGCACTCACCCACTAAGGAGCTGCCAGCTGTCACTCTGTACCTAGTTATCCAGAGCTCTCTTTCTGGTGGGTCAATGGAAGTAGTCCTGCTAGTGCGTGTGGTTTTCATGGTTGAAACTTTTGAGGCGCTTAAAAAAGTTGATGGTGCATGGGGTGTTCATGGTTAATCTTGTCGCTCACAGTAGCGATTAACATTCCCACAATAGCATGGTGGGAAGGGCGCATGCCTAGAGCCAACGAGTGGTGGCATTTTGTGTTTAACTCATTCACTGTTTGATGCTTACTTTGTCGCATGTTCGTTGCTGCCTGGCTTTCTGAGTGCAGGATACTCGTGGTTAGAGCTGCGGCCCTTGACCGGTCGGAAGCACCAGGTGTGTGTTTGTGTGTTCGCTCCTCACACCCCCCGTGCACATGCTTTAGCAGAATCCTCTTCTTCCCCAATCCTCCCCCCCCCCCCCCCCCCCCCCCGCCCCCACCCCCCTCGACTTTGTTGCGACAGCTTGCAACTTGAACGGCCTGAAGCTTGCATTCTGGTGGTTACATTCCATTCAGTTGCACAATAGAGTATTTTCTTCCATCTCAATGTTTGTTTCGTATTCTATTCTGATCTGCTCTTTTCCTTGTCCTTCTCATGCCCTCAGCTCCGCATTCACTGTGCCTTGGCACTCGGGTGCCCAATACAAGGCGACATGACGTACGGTGCATGGGCACACAAAGGAGTATCTGGTGTACCACTGGAAACTACACTTCAAATACCGGTAGCACTTCCAGATGGACTACACCTTCATGCTCGGTCGATAGAAGTGCCTTTTTTGGTTTCATTGGACGATCGGCGGATCCAAGACACTCATGCAGGGCGGAAGGAGAGGCTTGGCAAAGGGGAAAGAAGTGCACATGAGGTGACAGCAGGGGAACATGCTTGTGCAAAGAGAACATTCATAGCACCGATTCCTGTGCATATGGCAGAAACTTTTTCCATTCTTGCATTCAACAGTGGAATCAATTGAGATTTATTTTTTTCATTTCATACCAGCTTCATTCCTTCCATGCTTGTCCTTGTGGAGGCCCCTGCTATGAAATATTATCGAGCCAGTGCATATCGCATCACTGATGTCGGGTATCCCATCTGTGTAAATTTGAAATTTGCTGGTACATTGCTTGATGCTGAAGCAAAGCAACGCTTTCTTGTTCCCTGTCCGTTCCACCATCACAACAACTCTCATTCGTTGATATTCGTTCCTGAGCAACTGGCCCTCCTAACAGTTTTTTTTTTTTTTTTTTTTTTTTTTTTTTTTTTTTTTTTAATGCAAAGATACACTAGAAGTGCAACAATACATCGGCAGTCGTAACTGTAGCTGATGGGCCTAGGGGGATTGCTCCCTCCGTACCCATCCTGATCCTCTAAGGGGGGCGGAAAGCAGCCCTCGGGTTCGACCAGATTGCCATGAAACCCTTGGACCACGTGGCCGGTTGAGCTGAGTTGTCCATGATGCGACCCAAGACCCGGCACTCGCCATCATCCAAGCCAGGACGAATGACATCGAGCCTCTTAGACACCGCCTTAGCACGCTTGTAGATCCTGACATGCAGTTGGAAAGACGCCGCGATTCTCCGCAGAGCCCTCCTCGCCCGGAATTTGCTGCGCTTGAAAACCGCGTCACACCTCTCAACCCAAATCCGGTGGAATGCGATTGCTGTGATTGTAGCCTCGGGGAAACCCGAAGCTGTACCCTCCTTCTTGAAAATCACATCCCCCAGAGACTCAATTTTCCGATGCGGGTTCAGCATGCGGAGAGCCTTCAAAAGCGCCCGTACCACCGGTTGAATGCGCGGGCAGAGAAACAGCCCGTGCTCCAGTGTCTCCTTCTCTCCGCAGTGCGGGCAGGCGACCCCGGCGCCAAGGAAATGAAGCCGCTCCCCCACTTGCAAGTTCCGGCTGTGGACCCGGAGCATCACATCACGCGCACGATTCGGAAGAGCCGACGAATCCCTTACTCCAATCACTCTCCCCCAGTCGATCGAACGGCCGAGAGACTCCTCCCATGTGGTCTGCTGCTTCGGTTTTCCGCCAAACCGCTTAAAACCCTCCTTGAGTCGCCTTAGCTGCGCCGGCCGATCACCCACCCAGATGGGGGAGCACAGCAGTCTTGCCCTGGGGGCACCCGCAGAACCAAGAAACTGACCATCCCTGACCACTGCAGGTACTACCTCATGTGGCAGAAAGTTGCGCATCCTCTCCTCTGCTTCCTCCAAGACCCCCCTGAAACACTTGATGGCTCGGCAGACTAGGGCTTCGCCTTCCACCCTCTCAATCCTCCAGACCCCGTAACTCGTCCCCGCCTTCAGAACGAACTTAGAGGCCGTTAGCACTGTGCGCGCCGTGACTGGCGCCATGAGCATCTGCTTCCACTCGTCCGGAGCAGCATCGAATACCCTCTTTGCCAGCTTCGCTCCCTCCGATCCTCCGAAAGCCCGCTCGAGCTCCTGGGGAGTTTTCAGAGTTCTCGAACCGTCCTCAGCGACCTTGATTAGGTCGCCCATCACCGAGCGCTTCAGTGACTTAGCCGCCTTCTGCTGTCCCGCGGGTGACTTCCCGTTCAGAAGCAGACGGCGGTTAAAAAGCAACATCTCCTGCTCCACCTCCCACACCGACGATACACTGATGCACGAAGGGAAGCTGGACTCCAGGAAAAGCTCGCATGTCCGCTTCCACCTCTCACATCTTCCTTCCCACTGCTTTATCAACCCCGCGTGGGCCCAGAAAACCTGTAGGTCAGGAACATCCAGAGCCGCGAGCGCCAGATCAGGACGCAGTCCCAGTGGTTGCGACGCCAGCAGCGCGATCCTCCTGGCCGCCAGACCCCCCAGCTCCGCACAGGGATCCCGGACGCCAAGCCCGCCTTCCCCTCTCGCTTTGAACAGTAGCTCCTGACTCCAGAGCGCGAAGTGCTTTCCTGCCGTTGAATGGTTACCCGTGACGAAATTGTGAAGCAGCTTCACCAGCTTCGCCCAGATTTCCGATGGAGGAGGGTAGACCTGCGCCTGGAAAGCGAGGATTGGATTAATGTACCCGTTAACCACCGCGACCCTTCCGGATGTCGTCAGGTAATGTATCTGCCATTTCCCCAGCTCCGCCGTTGCGCGCGACAGGGTGATTTCCCAGGTCCCCGACGCATCCCCCGAAGGTGAGATCCACACCCCTAGGACTCTTTCCGCTTCGTTCGACCGTACCCATTTGAAAGTTGACGACTTGTCAGGTTTCCTGCGCAGGTTCTTTCCCAGGGGTAGGAGTGCAGACTTGTCGTTGTTCACCCGAAGACCCGACTTCTCACCGAACTCGTTCAGCAGCTTCACCGCTCGGCCAATCTGCCTTTTCCCTTTGAGCACCAGCGTGGTGTCATCAGCATACCCCAGGTACGCAAGCCGATCCCCGTACGGATTGCTGATTCCCAGCTTCCTCCTTATTGCTTCTTGGCAGAGAGGCTCCACCGCGCAAAGGAAGAGTTAAGGTGCCAGCGGACAGCCCTGCCGTACGCCCTTCCTGACCGCCACCGGATCCCCCAACCAGCCGTTCAGCAGCAGCCTCGTCGTTGATCCTGCATGAAGACCTTCGCACCACTGTACGAACTTCCGCGGAAAACCCATCCTCTCCATCGTGCCGAAAAGGTATTCGCGAGAGACCGAGTCGAAAGCCTTCTGGAAATCTACCAGAAGTAAGTACCAATCCGCATCTTTGCACTTCGCCGCGTCAACAA